ATCCAGGGGGGGTTGAACTTTGTCGCCCACGAACATTCGAGCCACGGGTCAGTGGAAACCCCCATGAAAATAGGTCGATTGTGACGTCAAATCCGCCATGTTTTTGGCCACACACTTTCGTCGAGAGCACGATCTCCAGATATATAAGTATAGCTCAGTGGTCCGAACCCCTGCAGTTGCTCGACCCAGTCGATTGCTCAATCTTCTTACTCTGGAACATATTTTAATTGTATACTGTAGTAAAAACAAATTTTCAAAATCCAAAACTTTCACTAATTTGAGCATTAAGATTTCAATTCTGAGGTCCATTTCTTATGAAGATGAAAAATCGACCCCCAAAGTCTAAAGTGCTAACTCCAAACCAAAATATACACTTGAGTAACTTGTGTAATTCAAAACTGATTTGAAAGTGAAATTGTGGAGTTACTGGCTAACTCCAAAAATTATTTGGAGCTAGGTATAACTCCAAAAATCATTTAGGAGCTAGGTGTCTAAGCCTGGAGTTACTGGCGAACTCCAAAAATCATTTTGAGGCAGGTATAATTCAAAATAGCATGAAAAAGCTAGGTATCTAAGCCTTGAGTTACTTGCTAACTGCCTAACTCCAAAGAGTATGTGTAGCGAGGCGAGCCAGCCTAGCCGCTAGATATGTATGCCTGAAGTTACTGATTGCTGTGAACATTGCTAACTCCAAAAATAATTTGGAGCTAGTTAACTACAGGGTGTATAAAAAAAAGGTAGTCGAACTTTAGCGCGCTATTGTATCTGAATTACTCTGCGTATGAACGAGATTTTTTCACATTCGGAAAGATTATGCTTTTAGCTGTTGAATGATATCTTCTTCATGCCAAATGGATAAAAAATGAGCAAATACGAATCCAATAAAATAGTCAGAATGTTAGTCAGAATCGCATATTTTCGCCGTTGAGAGTTGGGTCTAAAACCATTGAAAATGAACCCCCTTTAGGACTTAAGTTGATGAATTTCACTTCATTAAACTGCACACATATTCATAATTATTATTAAGTAGGAATAAATCTTAGCTAAGCTACGACACGTTCGTGATTAATTGCTTTTTCTTTTGTTATGCATGCATTCATTTGTTTTAATTAGGCACAGAGGTGAAAATATGCGATTTTGACTAACATTTTTAATCGGCCTCGTACATGCTTATTTTTTCTCCGCTTGGCATGAAAAGCATGTCATTCAATAGCTAAAAGCCTGATTTTTCCGAATATGAAAACCAGTTGTTCATACGCCGAGAAATTCACGTATAATAGCGCGCTGAAGTTCGATTACCTTTTTTTTATAGACCCTGTAGTGGCACATTTCACATTTTGTTCCTGTTCAGAGGCTAAATTTTGATAGATCTGCAAAGCTAGCCGAGTAAAGGAACCCCTCGGGCAGTAAATAACATAATTATCTTTTCAGGAATCATCACCTACCCAGAATATTTGTTTCTTCTAACATTGCTGACAAGTAAGTGGACTATATGTTTATATTTTCTTGTTGAAATTGTACATCCATGCAGACGCTGCTTTTGCTCCAAATGTGGACACTAGCATGTTTGAAGAGGCTTGCATCCCCACGTCCTCCAATAAATTCGCTATTCATGTATGAATAATTTTTCTCTTTGTTTAATTTATGTTTTTGTATGTTATGTAACACGCTGTTCTCTTTTCTTAATATAAAATTATAGAATCAAGTCACGGTCTCCATGTTGCTTTCCGTATGCTTGACTTGGATGGCAATGCTACACTCGGGAGGACTGAATTTCAAGAGGTATACTGTGCATTAACGCTATTTGTCAATTTACTTCAAGTCATTGTAAAATGTCTACGCTACATCGCTGCCACTCACTGTAAAAATTATGTGAAAAATCTGCCAAAATCTAGGGACTAGAAGAAGAAAAAAAATTTCTGTTTTTTCACAAGCCAAACTACTATTCCCCAAATTAGAGGTGGAAATGTGTTGTTTTCTTTCTTGGATCCTGGATTTACGGCTCAAAATATTCTGCAATCAGTGTAATTTTCATAATTAGCTATCAAACATCAAAAAATGTCTGAAAATTTCTGCAAAAAATTCAGATCCTCAAATTTTCGGGAAATAGGTTCCCAGGTTCCGATAGTTTTTCCTTCTCTGCTTGCCATTTTAAATGTCTACGCTAATCGTTGTAAATATATGTGAAAAATCTGCACGCATGCAATATAACGAAAGAGAAAAACACTGGAAAATTTCTGTTCTTTCACAAGTAAAGTACTTTATACCAAAATAGTATGAAGTTAGCGGTCTGCCGTAAACATCAATCTTAAAGTGTCTAATGTCTTTCTATGTTAATTGTGCATGACAACGTCGATTCCACCCTATGTGTCGAAACTTCAATATGGACGTGGGCCCTTCTTTCGTGCGACTTTCACTGACCATCCACGAGCGATTAAATTATTTTCTTTAATTTGATGGGGTTTTTTCTAGCTCGAGAGAATGCTTAACCAGAAAACGTCGGCCAAGTCATTGGTAAGCCAGTTATATAAAGATTAATTATATGTATATACTGCACATGTATAGAGCGTATACTGTTGTAAAATTCCTGGTTTATTTAGTTCTTTAATCTGGGAGACCCCCCCCCGTAACTGTTTAAGATTAAGAAATTTTCGTTTGATTAACTAACTCGAAAATCAGTCAAAGTCGAATGGCATAAGAGGAAGGGACAAACAACAATATTGGAAATAGGAAGGGACAAACAACAATATTCCACTGTATGTTAACATGTATTTTACCAATCGGAAGTAACACACACACACACACACACAGACACACACCTGTAAGTACCCCCCCCCCGAAAGTAACCGCACCTAACAGCGGATGAAAGAGAGTTTGGCTAAAAGAAAATTACTTACATTACAATTGCGAATCACTTGCTGAAAAATGCTTTCTCTATGAGTGTCCTGCCTGGATTCGAACCCAAGGTCTCTGCTCTAACGTCCCAACGCTTTAAGACACATCGTCCGATCAAGACACTCAGATTTATTTTGTATACACCCAACGCGGGATATCTAGTCCACTAATACGATGAGTTAGTGCCATAATTAAGAATTGGTTGTGTTTATTCACATTTTGCCCTTTTTTCCAGAACGAAATGACCTCCAAGGAAGAGGCATTGCCACATACCAGTTTACTAATTTATTTCTTTGGCAAATCGGGGAAAGGACAGTTGACCTTCACTGACATGCTACAGTGAGTTCAAAAGCTTGTATTTATTTTGGTTTGCTGTATGGCACATGTCTTGTGTTTGTGGTCTTGGTCAGGGAACCTAAAAATGAACGATAATGGATCGTAGCTACATTATATAATCTTTATAGCTGCACAGCATTGTTTATCCATATGGCATATGTGAATTGACATAAATCTTAATTTTGAATAAACTTTTCCTGGACAGGTGGTTATGCTATAATCTCTTCTCGACTAGTTTGTTTGTGGGTGTGATAATTTAAAAAAATATTAAAGAAAGTTGCAATTTTGTCTTGCATTTTATCGCCTGCAGCGTAAAAGAACTAAACATATAAGACAATATAGTAAAATGGAATAAAGACAATATAGTAAAATTCTTTTACTTCGCCAAAGCATCTGAATGTGTTATGTTTGGAATTTACTAAAACGTAAAAAGGCGTGACAAACAATGAGAAAAGTGACCTGTCTGAATCGTAAATTATTATGTAGCCAGTTTTAACCACGTGGTCTCAGAAAATGCAATAAATCCCGTCCGACCGGCTACATACACAAATGCACATGTACAAAATGAAACTAAAACTTTGTATAGATAACGTTTTTTCAGTTTATCAAAAGTATCTAACAGAAAAGAAAATACACAACAGGAAAATGAGGAAATGCTGCTGAAACCCTTTTAGCAGGTTCTTTATTTTTAAAATCATTTCCATGTTTGTTTATTTTTCTTCTTCGCCAACAACAAAACACCTAAATGATTTTTTTTCTATGTTGAGTATTTTTTCAATGGCGTACATACCACACAAAATCACTTTGTTTTACTTGACTCTCTAGTTTATACAGCTTCACATGGACTCTGTTAATGAAACTGTTTTACTGCATGGTTGAGAAAAATGCAACAATACAAAATATATCATGTGAAAGTATCGTCATGCTTAGCTTCATACATGTTTCCACTCTTCTTTAACTAGATGAATGCAAAACCCAATCGAATTGCATTCACGTACGATACGACCCAACGTTTCGACCCTCTGGTGACTTCATTAGATAGACATCGTGACAAAAACTTGAAATTTAATGTTATATAAAATTGTTTGTATCTAAACGCTTCTGCTTATAGATTTACAAGGAATTTACAAAAGGAATTTTGGAAGCAAGAAGTATCTTTTTGCCTAAGTAGTTGCAAATTAAGCTCTGTCCTTTTAAGTGAACGTACAGTATTTTCTTAATTTAAAGCTATTTTCCAAGTAAACCAAATCGAGGCGTCGTAAAATCCAAATACCGTTACCATGATGCATGCATGCATGTGCATATTTTAGCATATAAGACAACGGGATATACAGGTGTCCCCCCCCCCCAAAAAAAAACTATTGAAATAACGTATTGTTAGAATTTGAATGCCTCAGCTGAACCCACAAGTGCATAAAAGCTTGACATAAGTAAATTTTTATGCATAAAGAAACCGTTTAAGAAGCTGTTTTAAATTCCCAAGAGCAGAGAATCGTGCGCTTTACAAAGATATATTTTAATTTGTTAATAAGTCAATATTTATAATATACTGTATATGCACCCTGTCAATATTTTACGCATCTTTGCGTTCAGATTCAAATTCTAACAATACGTTATTTGGACACCCTGTATAATATACACTTGATGTCTGCTCACGAGGAAAATAGATCCAGGTAGTTTTGTTTTCCCGAGAAACGCTCATTGAATGTTCATTCAAACATTCAGATTCGAAGGGAAACAAAACTAACTCTTATAGGCGTTTAAATCATCAATAAAATAAATAAAAAAGATGACGTTGCCTTCCTTCATCAAGCTACAGTTTCGACTGTACTCTGCCAAGAAAGAAGCTATGAATAGCGATCAATTTGCCAAACTTCTGTTACAATCTACTTATCTCGATGAACAGGATGTCAAGGAATATTTGGAGAGATTGGAAAGCCGTCTTCAATCAGAAATAGTAAGTATGCTCTTGTTATAGCGAAAGAAGCGCTGCATGGTCACATTGTCTGACCAAACATGTTTTTGCTGGAACATGCACGAGACGTTTTAATTGTCCGGTGGAATAGACTGCCATAAACGACCCGGTGGCGCAGCATCAGAGCAAGTGCATGCCTTTCACCTCTGAGTACGTTGGTTCGATTCTCGCTACGGACTCATGTAAGAAGAGTCAGTCAACGCTCTGTCGAAAGTCGTGGGTTTTCTCTGGGTGCTCCGTTTCCATAAGACAGTTAAGAAAGTAATATCGCAAAGTAAAGATAAAATAATCTTGGCTAAGGCCTGTTTTATACGTCGAATTTTGGTCGCGCCCAATACAATTATTTATTTATTTATTTATTTAATAGCTTAGCCCTTGTACAAATATTAATTATTAGCACATGGCAGGGAATCTGCAACAGCGCAAGCCAATTACTGCAGCCCCTTTAAAACTTAACAGCAACAAACGTAATGATAATATAGGAACGAGGTGTTTCCTTGTCCTCAGAGGCAAGTCATAAGATACTACTTTGACACTAAACCAACTTTTAAACTCGTATAATAACGAGAGAAACGATATAACAAGGAATACTGCTTGAGGATAACGAACTAACTTTTTCCAAAACATGCAACAGACGAAGACACAATATCTACATGCAACACGAGATCGGATTGGTAAGAGTACGAACACAATTACACTTTAGACAGATTGTTTTGTACGAACGAGGATCGTCAACGTTGTAAGAAGTTCTTAATGAAGTCATATAATATTCATAAAGAATAGACTTGAATGTCGAGAGACCACAAGTCTCCAGTTTTAGTTCTTCCGCTAGAATGTTCTAGACACGGGTTGTTCGTATGAAGAAGGATCGTTGGTGGGTGGTTGTTTTGCATTTGGGTATGATGAACTTGGTGGCAGTACTGGTGGAAGATCTGGTAGGTCTCGAGGTTCGGATGGTTGGAATGAGAGGAGGTTTAACATTCACCAGACCATTTACTATTTTGTAGAAGAGGACCATATCCAGGTACTCATGCCAATATTAAATCGGTAGTAGGGACAGGGTTAGCAGTCTAGAGGTGTAGTTGAGGCGAAAGGTAGCTCAAGGATAA